AATCCCAAATGCATCATAATCTGTGTGATATAAGTCAGAAGGATTAAGGATACCAAGATAAGAAGAAAATGTGGAGATGGAGATATGAACTTTATTATTTTTCTATTTAAGAATATAAGTTTTTTGAATTTTTAAATCAAATAGTAAATTTTTATTTTTTTTCTAAATAAGGACACAAATTTTGATTTTTTTTTCTATTTAGGGGTGTATTAGATAACGATGATGACATGACAAATGACAATTTTAATCTTAATAGGACAAAATTTGTATCTTTAAATAGAAAAAATATCAATCCACCTAATTTAGAAAATTAAAAATTCATAATATTAAATGAAAAAATAACGAAGTTTGTTTTTTATTGACAGTAATTGGTCAAAATTTTATTTTGGTTCCTCTACTTTAATAAAAAAAATTTTTTGTCTTTCTACTTTAAAAAATCTCTTTTTTGTCCTTAAAGTTTATTATCCGATTCTTTTTTAGTCCCTTTGCTATTGTTATTATTATTATTATTTGCATATTTAGCACATGAATTAGATAACGAAAATTTTAAAGTAGATGGACTAAATAAGGACTTTAAAAAAATCCTTTTTTGATTTCTCTAATTTAAAAAGTCTTTTTTTAGTTACTCTATTTTAGAATTTTTATCATCTAACATGCCACATTTATAAAAAGATAACAAAATAACTAAAAGGGGCAAATGATAAACCTTAAAGACTAAAAAAAAAGTTTTTTAAATAGAGAAACTAAAAAGAATTTTTTTTATTAAAATAAAGATACCACAAATAAAGTTTTAACCACACTTTTTCTCCCAAGATTGGGGTCCATAGAAAAATGATGGGTGATTAGAAATAACAAAGAAGAGAACGAAACCCCACCCAATCAAGTCAACCTTCCAATGGAACAAATTTAAAAGAGAGTGGGGAGAGAAAAAAAAGCATTCTTTTTTTTTTTTTTTTTTTTTAATATTGACCTAATCAGCCAACATCTAAGATAAAAGGAGTGCTAAAAATGCTTTCTTTAATATTTTTTTATCTAGTTAGGTCATATGACATAAAATTTAATGTAATTAATGATTATTATTTGATATTAAAATTAATATTTTTAAATTAACCTGATTGCCACTAATGATACGAGTACTAGTAATTTAATATTACCATATGATGCTGTCTCGCGCAAGGAACTCCTTTCACGTACTCTTGCAAGGATTGTTCAAGTTATTGTCGTCTTACAAGAAAAGAACAACTTTTGATTGGGCAGCAATTTTGCGTTTTATGTGGATTTTTTTAATCCGGGAAACGACAGAAAACCTAAACGCATTACATTATACAATCTTTATCACATATTATTTGTTTATGGTATTAAAGACTTAAAGTGATATTCATCATTGATATATATATTTTTAAGTTTATTTTTTTCTGTTCTGAGAAAGATCAAATATTTATGTTAAAATTTAAATTTTAAGGAGAATTATCTTTTTATTAGGTATCTTAAGAAGCTAACACTAATCTACATATATAATAATATATAATTGTGACCAAACAAATATTATTACTTAATCAAATAGTAATCCATTATTATGTACAATTGGATGGCCTAAAATACTATTCAGGTGCATTGAAAAAATGCAACTATGAACCTCATCAAACGTGACACGTTGTTTCTCCTCATATTTCATTTTCAGGCCAAGAAAATGCCAACTTAATTCTATTGATGCATACATCTACAGATCTCTATATGAATTAAGATTCAAGACTTAATCATTACAAAAATTTTCCACACCGTGGGAAATTCGTGGGAATAAAGGGGTTTGAAATCGTACTGTGTAAAAGTTATAACTTTTTTTTTTTGAGGGGGGCAATTGCAAAATCGTCCTTGTCTAATGCATTTCCAATGACTTTCTAGTTTCTACGGACGCGTTTTTTTTCCCTTCTTTTCATTTCTCATTTCCCGAAAGGCACTAGAGAATAATGCAGAATCAGAAACTTTCCTACGACCCCACAAAGCTATGGGGGAGTAAAAAGTTGTACCTGATCATCATACTAGTAGTTATGGCCATTACTTATTTGGTTGAGATTAGCAAAATTTTGTTTAAAAAATAATAATTTAATTATTAAAAATAATTAATAATTAATAAAATAATTAATATTTATTATTTAATAAATTAAAATTATTTATATATTAATATTTTCAAACATCATAATTATTTATCTAAAAAAATATAAATATCAACTAAATATTGATAACCCTTAACAAAATCAAGTGGTAATCATAACCACACTTGACTATTAGACCCACCGTATACTTTAATGTTAAAAGAAAAAGAAAAAGAAGAAGAAGAGGAAGAAGAAGAAGAGGAAGAAGAAAAAGAAGAAGATGACAACAGCAACACCTGAAAACAAAGGGTTTATATGTGTTACGTCATTGCTAGGGTAACAAAATTCTAAAAAGAAGAGAAGGGCGATGTCTGCTTGTTCTGAGCTAGAAAAAATTTGCGAAGATATATGGTAGATGTATAAAAATTGCTTTCGTTCTTTTAATTTTATCATCCGCGACTACACGTCATTTACCACGTACAAGATAGAGACAGGACAAATTCAAAGGATGCTTGTAAAGTTTTAGTGGGAAAGGTTAAACCACCAATAATAAACATGTAATTAAGCAATCCCAACTCCTCAAAAGCTTTTATCATCCCACATGTACAAATTTTAAGTGTAGACTACGCCTGCTACTTGTCAATTACATTTCCTAATCTAAGAAAATGAAATTTCAAGAGAATATTCGAATGAACTATGGATGAAAATAATGGATTACAACTGTTTTAATTAGGGTTTTTTTTTTTTTTTGAGATTTATTAATCATTGTACTGTTTTTTAAAAGGTTTTTCTATCCCTTAAGTTATGGTGCACTTATTGTAACTTTTTTTAATATATTAAAGTTGTTTTTTTAACCTGCAGTTTAAGGATTAAGAATGTAATAAAGATTTTTTTTTTATAAATTTGTGTTGAAAAAATAAAAATTGATATTTAATTTACCAATCACTCAATTAAATTCTTTCATTTGATGATAATACTAAAATTAATATTAATTCTTATATTTTTTTAATATACATTTATAAAAAAAATATGATCTTAATTTACGTCCTTAAAAAACCCTTATGTTAATTAACATGAAGGATATAAAAAATGATAGTAATTTTAAAAATTTTCTAATTAAATTCATTTAAGTACTTGCTAAAATCAATGTTTGTCAACTTGCATATTTTTTATGTAAATTAATATAAAACGTACAATAAATACAATCAACACAAATTTT